AGGGAACAGGGTTATTTCTTTTTTGTTTAGCTGCTTGCTGGGTTAACACCTATGAATTGGTGCCCAGCAGCCCTTTCTTATGTGTGCACAGACCTGAAGAAGACCGAAGTCGGGTCCAAACGTCATTGATGATGCACACATTGTTTGTATATAGTTCATGTGTAGTTCATGTATTGTGTGTTTGTGTGTAAAAAACAGTAAAAAAAAAAACTAAAAAATGGAAGATATTTCAAAACAATAACTCAACACATTAAAACCAACTTAAAAATAATATTTATTACACACAAGTCGTGTTCTTAGTGGGACCGGGTGAGCGTGTCCGGTGGGGCGAAGGCCCGTGCACGCCCCGCTCCCTGAAGACCAAGCAGGGTCATAACTTAGAGGGAGACGGGAGTCATCCCTCAATCCTAACCATAACCCTAGGGGGATAGACAAAATCTCAGCCCGGTTCGACCTTGGGAAAGGCAATGAACCACGATGTCAAAAGTGGCACATACGCCTATATCCCCTAACCTAACCCTAACCCCTATATCCTAACCCTCCTAATATGTTGTTTGTCCATAAAAAAAAAATAACTAAATTATTATAAGATTATAATTTCAGGATTTGTGGTGCGAGGCACTCTGATGAAGCTGTCCTGTGATGTCTGCCGGTCCAGCCTTGTGACGGACGCTGAATCTGCCTGTAAGGACCAGACCGACCACCCGCTGACTCTGAAAAACGATGGAGGTCTGGTCATTCCATCTGGAGGCACAATAAAAGTCATCAGAGCTGCAGAGTGGGTCAATCGCCAGTTATCAGCAGATTCCAGAAGATCACAGCCCATCAAAATGTTGGAGGTCCTCTACATGGTGTAGAAGAGGAAAGGTTCAGAGGACGTGTTTTGCTTGGGGAGCATATCAACGATACACGCTATGGCATCGACAGTCACCACAACACACTGTTGACATTACTTGTGTCACTGTTTTTCAAACTAAGACTGCACCACATTACTAAAATGACTACGCTTAGCCCACAGAGAGACAATGTGAGACAGAAGCTCACCAAAACAGTCCTTTTCAGGGGGCAGTAGCTCAAACTGTCTGTGCACTTGTATATATGTTGGTTTTGTTTCAACTGTGTGAGTGACTGATGATTTGGAGTGAATGTTGAATTGTTTTGTAATTGTGCACATCTGGTCAATAAAAGAACCTTTATGTCCTGTTATTGAATGTGTTTATTTTAATTGTTATATTAAAAAATATATGTAGCAGAACGGGTAAGATGAACAAACCATCCCCTTGATCTTTGAAACTATACACACGATTTACGTTTGTGGTATAATTATTTTTCTGTTAAAGCAAATGGACCCAGGTCTAAACTTATACATCATGCTTGTAAGTGTTATTCAATATTTAGAACTATGTGAGTCATTAAGCAAAATATCATTCTGAAGCATTAAATTAATTAGGTTTTATCAAAACGATGGCCATGGGGCAAGATGAACCAAAAGCTGTGGGGTAAATTGAACCAATAGGAATAACAATTTATACAATTTTTATTGGGACTTTGTTTCTCTAATTAGCAGAATGATCTTTATTTTTGATAAATACACTCATTCAAGAGAAGTTTTCAATATTATATTTATAATCGCAAATATTAAAAGGTTCTGAAAAACAAACTTTAATTGGTTTTATATTTTTTAATAACCCAAAGAAAATAATTAAGACTACTTGAAAAAAGGGAAATGTCTTATAAAATTATTTTTCATTAGTAAATAAATTATTTGTTAAAGTTTAAGTTTAAAATATCATGTGGGTCAACTTACCCCTTTATATTTAATATATCTATTAAATAGAACTATAAAATATCGAACTATTAAATGTTTAATATCAAAAACCCTGACAATTTAATTTCACTGTGTGTATGTGTACAGCTATGGCATGTATTGCTCCACTATCACCTTTTTAAATTTAATATGAAAGTCCATGGTTATAATTATCCGTCTCTGGCGTTTATAACAAACAAATCCGTTTGAAAACCAGTTGAAATTTAAGCATTATATCGTCATGGAAACTGTACATGCACCATAGACATTAATGTTATCAGTGGGCCAGCAGCCCCGAGGTAAGATGGCCGCCGTGTGACGACGTCAGTCCCCATTGGCTCACAGCGTAGCCAATGAGAAGAACCGCCATGTTTGGCTTGCGCGTCATTACGCCGTACAACGCATGCGCAGATCTATTACTTCCGGGACGCTCAGCAGCAGCAGCAGCAGCAGCAGAAACACAGTCCGGAATTCTTCTGTTGTTTTTGCTTTTTATTCCGTTTCTGTTTTTTAAGTTGTTGTTTTTTCTCCGTCTGTCCCCCCGGGTCTCTCTCCCCCGGGTTTCTCCCCCGGTCTCCTGATGCGGACTCACGTTTGTGTGACTCTGTTTGTGTTTCTGCTGAATGAAGCGGCGACGAGTCCGTTCACGGAGGACCAGATGGAGGAGGTCAGGTAAGAGTCCGGCAGAGTCCTGGTACTGAGTTTGATGGTCCACCAAGGACTTCAACACTTTGGCTTCAGTGAGAACAATAACACGGGGGGCTGAAGTTTTGGAAACCAGAGTCCTGTAGGGGGTCCGGGGGGTCCTGCCCCCGGAGATTTTAGTTTTTAAAGGTAAATGAAGAATTTTTGGAAAATAATGAGAAAACAGACGATGTTGATCTACAGAGACAAATGTATTTTTACTTACTAACAGGTTATTATAGCGACACACAGCCGACCTACAGTCAGTGTTACCCTATGATATAGAAACTGACAGTTATAATAATAATAATAACTTTATTTATTCACCACATTTAAAAACAGAAGTTTACTAAGTGACACACGATTGTAAAATACATGAACATGAACTATTATCCATTACGGACTACAGCGGGGTGCCGCAGCTCAAGGAAGAACATTTATGATCATTTCTTTATCATTTCCTTGAAGTAATAATCTCCATATTGATCATTTTACAGACGCGGTAGTTCTTCTGTCTTAGCGTCTTGGTCTGATTGTATTTCCATGAAGAAATGATCATAAATGTTCTTCCTTGAGCTGCGGCACCCCGCTGTAGTCCCTAATGGACTGGCCTGAGGTCTCTCTACAAACAAGCGTCTGCTGGAAGAGAGTAGGTGAGTTGTGTTTAGTGTCTTTGCTAAAGAAATGAGTCAAAGTTAAAAAGATGTTTGGTGTCTAGTACTATGTCTGTGACCCTATATGTCCTGTTGATGAAGTTAGGTGCTGTTCTGAGCATTATTTGTGGCTATAGAGTGGCGTTTTGGTTGGGGGCGTGGCTCTCTGTATTTCTATCCTGCGGTCGTTACTAAAGTTGGTATAACTAGAGAAGGAAGCGGTCGACAACATTCATCTCTGGAGGGGGCGGGGTCTAACTCGGGGTTACGGTGGGTTTAAAACATAGACTGTATTTACTCTGGACCACTTGGTTCCTCCTCCCGTCTGTTTACGGATTTGAAGCTGAAAAGTTCTCGTTATTTCTGCGATTTTTCTTCATTTCCTGAAACCAACATTACGCAGTAGCGTTGTACACGATTGGTGGGAGAGTCGCTGAGAGTCTCTGTGATGACGCTCGGCTCAAACAGCGTATCCCCGGTGATCTAATCAATCTCTGTCCTCCCATAGGCTGTATCAGGTGTCAATCATAGAAAACATGAACCCCCTAATAACTTTTAAAAATGGAGCTGTACAGAAAAAAGAGGACTTGAGCACAAACCAGTCTGACAGTAACTACATGTCAACATCACAACCAGGGGGGAGAAACATTTATATTCTGGGTCATTCATTTAGAAAGTTTGTCCACAGCTCCATAAGGAGGCGGGGTTTAGGACCTATACTGCAGCCCGTCACCAGAGGGCGCTGTTCTCACAGAGAGGAGGAGGCAGACGGCGTCTGTTCTAGATACAGTCTATGGTTTGACCCTAACTTAATTTTACACCGGAATGTCCCTTTAATGGAGCGTTTACAGATGTTTAAGATACCCGTGACGTGGACTCTGATGATCCCCAAACCGTCAGGGACGCTGGCTTTGGACTCTACTCTTTAAAACTGAGGATGAAGCATCTATGATATCCGGTTCTGCGTTGAGTTGCTCTCTCGTCTGTGTTGATGTGGAGTTCTCATGAGTCGGGAGTTGACTCCAGACTGAGCTGTAATACTCCTGTCCTCCATCTTTGAGCTGGAGCTTTAAAGACATGCAGAGAGTTCAGTCAGAGACAGCTGTGTCTCTGTCTTTCCATGATCAGTTAGTTAAAGTAACACGTGATCATGGGACATCTACTACACTGTTAGTGACAGGGGTTAGGAGTCACATGTTTATTACAAACATGCTGTCATAAAATATGGTCCTTTGTTTCCTGAAGCTGATCCTCCGGACTCATGAAGGATTTGATCCATTCTTCGGTACTCGGCTGCTTCTCCTGTCAATGAAGATTTGAATGAAGGGAAAAACAAATGAGAGACTGTCTTTCAGCCGTGTCCTCTTTCTCTCTGTCTGGCGGTTTTTCCACAGGCAGCGCATCAAATCCATGTTTTACCACGCCTACAACAGTTACCTGGACAACGCCTTCCCTTACGACGAGCTCCGCCCACTCACCTGTGATGGACAAGACACCTGGGGCAGGTAAGGTGACATTAATGACAATATAACCTCAAAGGTTTGTGGATTAAATCTACTCATTGTTCTGCTCCTCTTTTCTCTGCAGCTTTTCTCTCACTCTGATCGATGCTCTCGACACTCTGCTGGTAAGGTCTGAACGTGTCATTTCCTCTAAAACCTTTTATATCTGTTTTCAGATTCGATCACATTTGACTTTAAGACGAGGAGAATCGTCTGTTTTTGTGCTTCAGCTGACAAACGACAGATTTTACTAACAGGAAGTTTCAAATTTGTCCCTGAAGGTTTTGGGAAACAGGACAGAGTTTCAGCGCGTGGCGTCGCTCCTTCAGGACACGGTGGACTTTGACATCGACGTGAACGCCTCCGTGTTTGAAACCAACATCAGAGGTAAACGCAGAGAGACGCTGTGAATAAATGAGGACTTTTCTGCATCAGTCACTGATGGTTCCAGAAGTTTAATTCATGACCAGGAGGAGCTGATGAGAACAGGAAGTTAGTTTGTTTTTAGACCCGTGAAAGAAGATGAACGCCGTCAGCTGCTGTGTTACTGACTGTGGAGTCAGTAACACAACTAAGAAAGACTTCGTCCACGTTCATCTAAGTGTGAACAGGTCAGTTCTGATTGGTTCTGATCCGACCCTCTTCTGTATGTGGATATAAATCAGATATGTATCTGATGTGACTGCAGTGTGACGCTCAGGTCGCCTTCATCCGATCTTTACGTCATCAATATGAGACAAACGTCACCGTTGTTCGACGACACAAACAGGAGCGGGAAGATATTTGTGTTCATGAGGGTCACTTCACGGACGCATTCGTTGTTGTAACGTGAACGACGCACAAGAAGATCGGATTGTTGCTGACGTGTGTTTGAGAACTGGATGTAAGTCGAGGTCAGAGAAATTATTGATCAACTCTGCCGACATGATTCTGTCGGCGTTGTCTGTGAAATGTCGTCTATGTCTCCGATCTCAGGCTGAAATGTCGGGTTAGGGTGGACAGGAGCTGGATGGTCACTGGGATGATGGCGTCGGTGCGTTTTGTCTCTCGCTCCGACAGATGTTTTTGGGGAAGCGGTTCCTGCTGAGAATCCACTCTGAGTTCTCACTAAACTGATCAGAGCGCTCTTTAAAAACGTCGCGCTCCAAGTCCTTCAATAGTCCAAAATGATCCAGGATACTTGTGTTTGTTCCTGTCAGACTTCCTCTGAGGTTGTCCTCTCACAGCTGATTTTATAGTTTGTCACACCGATCATTGAAAATGTCTGATCAATAACTAACTGATCAGTTTTGTACAGAGTGAACAGAGAACGTGTGAAGTCTGAGATTGCTGAACGCTGTGACTCCTTCAATGGTTCTGGTTGTAGTTTCACTGTTCGACCACTAGGGTTTGAGTGTAAGCGTGCTCAGAGTTTAGTCACGGTCCTAAGAACAAGTCCAGGTCGATCAATAACTGACTCTGTGTGGAAGTTCGTACGCACGGTTGATAAATGAGGCCCCTGGAGGAAACAGGTTGGATGATTCACTTTTAGACACTGCCTCTTGTGGACACTAGAGGAACTACAGCCTTTCTTCTGTTGTGTCTCTTGTCTCTGTGTGTTCAGTGGTGGGGGGGCTGCTGTCCGCTCACCTGTTGGCGGGGAGGGCGGGGATGGAGCTGGAGCCCGGCTGGCCGTGTTCGGGACCGCTGCTGAGGATGGCCGAGGACGCCGCCAGGAAGCTGCTGCCGGGTATCGAAAACACACACACACACACAGACACACACACACACACACACACACACAGACACACACACAGACACACACACACACAGACACACACACACACACACACACACACACACACACACACACACACACACACACACACACAGACACACACACACACACACACACAGACACACACACACACACACACAGACAGACACACACACACACACACACAGACAGACACACACACACAGACACACACACACACACACACACACACACACACACACACACACACACACACACACAGACACACACAGACACACACACACAGACACATACGCACACAGACACACACACACAGACACACAGACACACACACACAGACACACACACAGACACACACAGACACACACACACACAGACACACACACACACAGACACACACACACACAGACACACACACACAGACACACACACACACACACACACAGACACACACACACACACACACAGACACACACACACTCTTGGCTTGTGAAGTTTGCAGTCCAGAATCCCAAACATGAAACAAAAACTGCGCTCTGAAAGGGGGAACTTTGTCACGATTTCAGCGTTCCAGACTCCCACCGGGATGCCGTACGGCACGGTTAACCTTCTGAAAGGCGTCAGTCCCACAGAGACCCCCGTCACCTGCACGGCCGGCGTGGGAACCTTCATCCTGGAGTTCGCAACGCTGAGTAGACTGACGGGGGACAAGACGTTTGAGAACGCAGCCCGCCAAGCGCTGAGGGCCCTGTGGAATACCAGATCTGACATCGGACTGGTAACCCTTTACCTTTTAGTCTCCATGTGGCCTCGTTACCATGGAAACGTAGTATTTTATTCCCAAACTTCAGACATGTCAACAGCGAGGAAAGTCTGAGGAAAATTTCACAGAATATCAATTATAAAAAAAATCACAAAAGAAGAAACAGGAAACATTGAAGAGGACATCACTGTCCTAATCATATGATGTATGGATTTCTGTGTGTGTGTGTGTGTGTGTGTGTGTGTGTGTGTGTGTGTGTGTGTGTGTGTGTGTGCAGGTGGGAAACCACATCGACATCCTGTCTAAGAAGTGGGTGGCTCAGGACGCCGGTATCGGAGCAGGGGTGGACTCGTACTTTGAGTATTTGGTGAAAGGAGCCGTCCTGCTGCAGGATGAAGAGCTGCTGGAAATGTTCCTCGGTAATTCTACGAATCACTGCAGCTCCCTCTGCTGGCCAAGGATGGTAAAAGCATCCAAAAAAACCTGATTTCATCTGGTCTTTCCTCAGAGTATGATCGAGCCATTCAGAACTACACCCGCTTCGATGACTGGTACCTGTGGGTCCAGATGCACAAAGGAACCGTCTCCATGCCTGTGTTTCAGTCTCTGGAGGCCTTCTGGCCCGGCCTGCAGGTACAGAAAGTTCTGGAGGAACTAAAAAGTTCTTAGAGTTTAAGCTGCAGAATTTAATCTGACCCACAGGAGGAAACAAACAAACTAACTCCTTCTGTCAATCTCAGTCGCTCTTAGGAAACCTGGACAGCGCAGTGAGAACTTTCCAGAACTATTACTCAGTGTGGCGACAGTTCGGTGGTCTGCCAGAGTTCTACAGCATCCCCCAGGGTTACACCGTAGACAAGAGAGAGGGATACCCGCTGAGACCAGGTGAGTCCGCCGACTGAACCTCAAAGAGCCACATTCTTTTAATCGGGCATTTTAAAGGACGACTCCTTTTCCTGTTTCCAAAAATAGACTGTTGACTGTTTGACCCAAAGGGGGCGGGGCCTAAACTTAAAGTCAAAGTATCTTGTTTGATTGTTCTCATCTTCACTGAAGCCCAAAATTATTCATACCGCTGTCGAATACAAGGAATTTCTCATGTTTCAGTTCCACGTCAGTTTTTCACTTCAGACTGACATAAATCGGACACACAGGCGAGTCTGGAACCACGACCAACTAAGTTCTGTGAAGTAAAACTGTTAAAGGGATTTAATTAAACTTTGACAAACGGCACCTTGTCTAAAATTATTCTAACCCCAGAGACACAGAGACAGAGAGCCACAAAGTTTCTCTGTTTGATTTGTTCCAGAGTTGATAGAGAGCGCCATGTACCTGTTCAGGGCGACAGGTGACCACACCTACCTCCAGCTGGGACTCGATGCTCTAGAGTCGATTGAGAAGATCGCCAAGACGCCTTGTGGATACGCCACGGTAAGATCTGCACAGAATTGCTGCACCTTCCACGGCCCTGATGACGTTTTATTTACGCACGTTTCTGTTTCTTTGAAGGTCAAAGATCTGCGAGATCATCAGCTGGACAACAGGATGGAGTCCTTCTTCCTCGCTGAAACCGTCAAGTACCTCTACCTGCTGTTTGACCCCACCCACTTCCTGCACGGCGGGGGAACAGAAGGGGACGGCTCTTGGGAGGAGGGAGGCGATGGGGGGGACTGTGTTTTAGGGGCCGGGGGCTTTATTTTCAACACCGAGGCTCACTCTTTGGACCCGGCAGCGCTCTACTGCTGCAGCCAACACACCAAAGACCGCCAGGAGCTGCGAGACATCCTGATCAGCCTGTCCCAACCAGAAGGACGCTCCAGCAGCAGCCAATCAAAATCCACCGTCAAACAGACTGTAGGCCCTTCCCCAGGCCAATCAGAGAGCATCGCTCTGAAACCAGGGGAGAAGAAGACACACCCCCTGCTTTCCTGTCCTGTTCAGCCGTTCAGCGCTCGACTCTCCATCCTAGGACAAGTTTTCAGCGATAACACCTGAGAGTCACACGCTCGCCGTTCGACCCGATACCTGACCTCAGAGGAGCTGCTGCTGCTGGAGCCACAGGGGGTTCTCCTCAAACCCGGACCTTTTATTCGAACATGTTTTTGGGGACAGTGGAGCAGCCGAAAAATAAATGTCAGAAGTCGGCAGGATGTGGAAAATCACTATTTTAGTACAAGGTTTCTGCGGGGTCCTAAAAAGTCTAAAAACGTCTCCATCGCGATTTTAAGAGGTATGAAGTTTATCTGAAATTCAAGCTTTGACTCCAGAAAGTACCGTGAATATTTATTTCCTGTTGATGGCGTACTCGGAGCGAGATCGTCTCAGGGTCGTGAGCTTTCAGGTATGACATCACACAACAGGTAGTGGTATGGCCATAACCATATTAAGAGTAGACGCCACATTGTCCGCTCCTACCTGTAGGGGTAATCAACATTGAACTTCGGGTTTATTTTCTGGGTTAGCGATTTCAGGGTATCAGCGGGATTTCGTCCGTAGAGCTTCTTTGCACTGCTCCATAATTTAACAAACGTCGTTTAAATCTTAAAGGTAAAGTTAACATGAAAACTTTTTTCTGTTTTATTATGTTTTTTTTTTCTTGATCATGTTGTCCGTCTTGTATACTTTATCATTTTGAAATTAATAAAAAATTCGGCAGGGAATTTATGCGAGTGATGCTGCTGCTGTCCGCCTGTGTATATCACAGGCTATCTTTATTTATTTTATTATAATTTAATTAGAATAATGAGAGAATAGCTGAATAATAGAATCGTCCAAAGAAATCATTGTCATACATGAAGGACCACAATAAAAAAGAAGTCTCCAGGAAGTTTTGTGTCGTTATTTTAGCTTAAGTGTCCGACTGAACCTCATGCCGTTCACATGTCTGTGTGTTTGAACCGTTTTTATATGAAGGCCCATCATTTATTTGGCATTTGAGGCACGAGTTAGGATAAATAATAATCCTCAGTGGACGTCAACAAAGGCTACAAGGCCTTAATTGAACAAAAATATAAAATAAAACACAACATCACAAATGCTTTATTTACATACAGGATAACGTTTCATCAGTTTCATGGGTAAATACATATTTTGAATGAGTTTATTATTATCAAAGAAAACCTGAGGCTGTAGTGTGCAAATGTGTTTGTGATACCAATACAGAAATGATGAAGTTATTGATATGGTGTCCGTCTTTATTACACAGAAGCAGGGTAAAAAAGAAGAAGAGGGCATCAATTATGGAGACGGTTGTGATGTGAATGTGCTTGTGTTGCGTGGTTTGTGACTGCTTTTGTTGTGGGGACAACATAGAACACGTAAACATTTCATTCATTTTTATTTAAACACAATTTCTCAACAAATCTCAAGTCTATGGATTGTAAGGGGGGACTCCACTGTATTCGCTACCCCTTATATTTCGAGTCATCCGCCAAACCTGCAGTTGTTTCCTGAATCACTCCCATGGTACGGCCGACTCTTGAGTCTTCAAACATCATCATGTAATATGATTATAATAAAGTATGACTGAAAATATCATAGTACAGTATGATACAAAAATCAAAGTATGATTAAAAAATATTGTATATTTGAAAAACATTAGTATAGTAGGATAAAAATGTCATTGTATAGTATTTTTCATAAATCAAAGTGAAGGATGATAGAGATGTTATATTATAGAATGATAAAAAAAATCAGTATAGAATGAAAGAACTTTTGTATAGTATAATAAATTTCAAAGTATAGTGTGATAAAAAATGTAGTAGTATGATGAAAAAATGTTTGGGTAAAGTATGATAAAAATGTTAGTATAGAATGTTAAAAAAATTAATATTTTAAATTGAAAAAACAAACAGTATTTTAGTATAAAAAAATGTCATAGTATAGTATGTGACAGTTTTTAAATTTTAGCCTGAAAAAAATATTTCAAATTCAAGTATTAAAAACAATGTCAGAGTATAATATGCTTAAAATGTCATAGTATAGTCTGATAATAATGCATTAGACGGATGTTAAAGATGTTACATTTTAGCACAAAAAAAAAAATCATACTTCAGTCTGAAAAAAACGACATAGTATACTATGACCAAAATTTTAGATTTTAGGGTGTAAAAAAAATTCTTATTAAAGGATGAAAAAACATGCAATAGTATAGTCTGGTCAAAATTACAAAGATGAGGATGTTCAAAATTTTATATTTTCCATGAAAAAAAAATATATATTTTGTTCCGGAAAAAAACAACGTAGTATACTATGACCAAAATTTCAGATTTTAGGGTGAAAAAAAAATTCTGATTTAAGGATGAAAAAACATGCCGTAGTACAGTCTGATCAAGATGACATAAATAAGGATGTTTATAGACTGATCAAAGTGACATTGATTAGGATGTTAAAAATGTCACATTTTAGCACGAAAAGAAAAAAATATTTTTTAATCCGAAAAGAAATGTCATAGTATACTATGACAAAATCTTCAGATTTTTGGGTGAAAAAAAAATTCTAATTTTAGGATGGAAAAACATGCCAAAGTATAGACTGATCAAAATGACATAGATTAGGATGTTAAAAATGTCACATTTTAGCACGAAAAGAAAAAAATATTTTTTAATCCGAAAAGAAACGTCATAGTATACTATGACAAAATCTTCAGATTTTTGGGTGAAAAAAAAATTCTGATTTAAGGATGAAAAAACATGCCACAGTATAGTCTGATCATAATGACATAGATTAGGATGTTCAAAATGTCATATTTAACCAGGTGAAAAAGAAAAATATTTTTAGTTAGAGAAAAAAACGACATAGTATACTATGACCAAAATGTCAGATTTTCGGGTGAAAAAAAATTCTGAATTAAGGGTGAAAAAACATGCCATAGTATAGACTGATCAAAATGACATGGATTAGGATGTTAAAAATGTCATATTTTAGCACGAAAAGAAAAAAATATTTTTGAGTCCGAAAAAAAAAAACGTCATAGTATACTATGACAAAATCTTCAGATTTTTGGGTGAAAAAAAAATTCTGATTTAAGGATGAAAAAACATGCCACAGTATAGTCTGATCAAAATGACATAGATTAGGATGTTCAAAATGTCATATTTAACCAAGTGAAAAAGAAAAATATTTTTAGTCAGAGAAAAAAACAACATAGTATACTGACCAAAATTTCAGATTTTTGGGTGAAATAAAATTTCTGATTTAAGGGTGAAAAAACATGCAAGACTATAGTCTTATAAAAATGACATTGATTAGGATGTTCAAAATGTCATATTTTAGCACGAAAAGAAAAAAATATTTTTGAGTCCGAGGAAAAAAAACGTCATAGTATACTATGACCAAAATTTCAGATTTTAGGCAAAAAAAAAATTCTGATTAAAGGATGAAAAAACATGCCATAGTATAGTCTGATCAAAATGACATAGATTAGGATTTTAAAAATGTCATATTTTAGCACGAAAAGAAAAAATATTTTTGAGTCCAGAAGAAAAGAAACGTCATAGTATACTATGACCAAAATTTCAGATTTTAGGCTAAAAAAAAAAATTCTGATTTAAGGATGAAAAAACATGCCAAAGTATAGTCTGATCAAAATGACATAGATTAGGATGTTAAAAATGTCACATTTTAGCACGAAAAGAAAAAAATATTTTTGAGTCCAGAAGAAAAAAAACGTCATAGTATACTATGACCAAAATGTCAGATTTTTGGGTGAAAAAAAAATTCTGATTTAAGGGTGTAAAAACATGCAATAGTATTGTCTGATAAAAATGACATAGATTAGGGTGTTCAAAATGTCATATTTAACCAAGTGAAAAAGAAAAATATTTTTAGTCCGAGAAAAAAACGACATAGTATACTATGTCGAAAATTTCAGATTTTAGGCTGAAAATAAAATTCAGATTTTGGGATGAAAAAACATGCCATAGTATTGTCTGATCAAATTGCCATAGAAACGGATGTTAAAACTGTAATATTTTAGCCGGAAAATGAAAAATTCATATTTTGGTCCGAAAAAAAACGACATAGTATACTATGTCGAAAATTTCAGATTTTAGGCTGAAAATAAAATTCAGATTTAAGGATGAAAAAACATGCCATAGTATTGTCTGATCAAATTGCCATAGAAACGGATGTTAAAACTGTAATATTTTAGCCGGAAAATGAAAATATATATTTTGGTCCGAAAAAAAACGACATAGTATACTATGTCGAAAATTTCAAATTTTAGGCTGAAAATAAAATTCAGATTTTAGGATGAAAAAACATGCCATAGTATTGTCTGATCAAATTGCCATAGAAACGGATGTTAAAAATGTAATATTTTAGCCGGAAAATGAAAAATTCATATTTTGGTCTGAAAAAAAACGACATAGTATACTATGTCGAAAATTTCAGATTTTAGGCTGAAAATGAAATTCAGATTTTAGGATGAAAAAACATGCCATAGTATTGTCTGATCAAATTGCCATAGAAACGGATGCTAAAAATGTAATATTTTAGCCGGAAAATGAAAAATTCATATTTTGGTCCGAAAAAAAACGACATAGTATACTATGTCGAAAATTTCAGATTTTAGGCTGAAAATAAAATTCAGATTTTAGGATGAAAAAACATGCCATAGTATTGTCAGATCAAATTGCCATAGAAACGGATGCTAAAAATGTAATATTTTAGCCGGAAAATGAAAAATTCATATTTTGGTCCGAAAAAAAATGACATAGTATACTATGTCGAAAATTTCAGATTTTAGGCTGAAAATAAAATTCAGATTTAAGGATGAAAAAACATGCCATAGTATTGTCTGATCAAATTGCCATAGAAACGGATGTTAAAACTGTAATATTTTAGCCGGAAAATGAAAATATATATTTTGGTCCGAAAAAAAACGACATAGTATACTATGTCGAAAATTTCAAATTTTAGGCTGAAAATAAAATTCAGATTTTAGGATGAAAAAACATGCCATAGTATTGTCTGATCACATTGCCATAGAAATGGATGTTAAAAATGTAATATTTTAGCCGGAAAATGAAAAATTCATATTTTGGTCCGAAAAAAAACGACATAGTATACTATGTCGAAAATTTCAGATTTTAGGCTGAAAATAGAATTGAGATTTTAGGATGAAAAAACATGCCATAGTATTGTCTGATCAAATTGCCATAGAAACGGATGTTAAAAATGTAATATTTTAGCCGGAAAATGAAAAATTCATATTTTGGTCCGAAAAAAAAACCACATAGTATACTATGTCGAAAATTCCAGATTTTAGGCTGAAAATAAAATTCAGATTTTAGGATGAAAAAACATGCCATAGTATTGTCTGATCAAATTGCCATAGAAACGGATGTAAAAAATGTAATATTTTAGCCGGAAAATGAAAAATTCATATTTTGGTCCGAAAAAAAAAGACATAGTATACTATGTCAAAAATTTCAGATTTTAGGCTGAAAATAAAATTCAGATTTTAGGATGAAAAAACATGCCATAGTATTGTCTGATCAAATTGCCATAGAAATGGATGTTAAAAATGTAATAATTCAATGGGAAAATGAAAAATTCATATTTTGGTCCGAAAAAAAACCACATAGTATACTATGTCGAAAATTTCAGATTTTAGGCTGAAAATAAAATTCAGATTTTAGGATGAAAAAACATGCCATAGTATTGTCTGATCAAATTGCCATAGAAACGGATGTTAAAAATGTAATATTTTAGCCGGAAAATAAAAAATTCATATTTTGGTCCGAAAAAAAACGACATAGTATACTATGTCGAAAATTTCAGATTTTAGGCTGAAAATAAAATTTAGATTTTAGGATGAAAAAA